TAATTTTTCTAAAAAAAATAATAAATGAATAAATAAATATAAAAAATGAATAAATAAAATATAAATATCCCAAAATACAGATCCTGGAGCCTCTACAGTGAGTACAGCAACAGGGAACCCTGATCCTGAAGACAGCAGTGCTGGTTATCTGAAGAGAGTTCCTGAAATTCTGAGCCAGCAGTCCTGCCCACACCCTACTGAGGCCGGACACTGTCTTGCTAGACTGTCTGGGTACTACTCCAGAGGAAAGGGGGAGATCAGTTTGAGCCAGCAGCAGAGAATATTTTCAGTGAGTAAAGATACCTGGTAGGGGCACTTCAGGAAAGGAAACATCTTGAGAATCTCCTTCAGAGGCATTCGGCAACCAATCATCTTTCTTCTTATTTCCAAAGTCTGGCTCATCCTCCTGTCGATTTCTCTCCAGTCCTTCTCTGTTTTCACAAACTCTTGCTGGAGCCAGTTAATATGCTCATCCACCTTGGAATCCAAGCAAACAGATTCCTCCTGCCAAATATTTTCAAAGTATTAGTGAATCTTGTGTTCCAAGACAGTTGGATACTTCATCAAAACTTGAATCTCTGAAAGGCTATTAGCACACCCTTCATAATGTTTCCCTAAGGTGACGCTTGTCCTGTGTAATTTCACTTGGCTTTGAATATGGTTAACCAAAGGACAGTCTTTCATGAAAGCAAGTTTGTTACTTACAATGGAATTAGACTCTGTGCTCTTTTAAGTTTTTTAAATGTATTTTTAATGTGTGTGAATGTGTACCTACTGGTCTGTACGTGCACCAGGTGCATGCAGATGCCCAAGGAAGTAGGAAAAGTGTGTTGGATCCTGTGGAACTGGAATTACAGGTGGTTGTAGGCTGCCTGATGTGGGTCCTGAGAAATGAACCAGGAATTGAGAACAGCAGCAAGTGTTCTCAACTGTTGAGCCATCTCTCTAGCTCCTTAATCTATGCTCTTGACAAATTTAGGAGTTACTTTAATTCCTACTTACCTGGTTACATGAGAAGAGATTATCCAGAAAGTTCATGTTTGCAAGAATATTGCTTACTTCTTAGGTGACAAAAAAATAATAAATTAAACTTTTGCTTATTGTGTGCCTTTTTACTTTCTTTCTTCTGTATGTGTGTGGGGGCAGTGTTCATGTGTATGCATCTGTGTTTGGAGACCAGAGGTTGACATTGGGTGTCTTTCGGTAGCTCTCCACATTATATTTTGAGACAGGGCTTTTATTGAACCTATAGCTCACCAGTTGGCTAGACTGGCTGACCAGGAAGCCTAGGGAGCCCTCTGTCTCCACCTCTCTAGTGCTGAGATTACAGGCTCATGCCACCATGCCCAGCTTTTTACTTTAGTGCTAAGGACCGAACTCTAGTCCTCATGTGTATGTGACTAAGCCATCTCTCCAGTCTTGTCTATATTCTTTTCTAGAATATTTATTATTTTATGTGTATGTGTGTATTGCCTGCATATGTGTAAGTGCATCCATGTCATGCAATGCCTACAGAGGTCAGAAGAGGGCATTGGGTTCCCTGGAACGGGAGTTATGGGCAACTGTTAGCTGCCATGGCCCTCTGTAAAAGCCACGTCCTTTATAAAAGCAGCCGGTGCCCTTAACCATTGAGCCATCTCTTTAGCCCCATCTATGTTCTTTTTAAATGCCATTTTATAGCCACAAAAGCATCCCACGCCACCCACATTGAAAATAGTGACTGTTTTCTATGATACAAAAACCATCAAACTGTCACCCGGGTTCATCATACACTGGTACCCTGAGTATGATGAGAATACAAAATATCTCATATTTTCCTGAAAATCTAAGACAATCAGCCTGGAGGAAGGGAGAAGAAAACCTATCTAGAAAAATGGATGAACTCAGCTACCCTGCATTTGAACAAAAGCTAAGCAACCAGCCAGCCCAGCAGACCGCAAACAGATTTTACCTAGACATGAGGAAAAGGTGCTAGGGAACCTGCGATTCTGTGACCTCAAAGCATTTAGAAACACAGCGAGAAAGCTTTGGCGGACCCACTATCTGTGACCCCGAATGACTAGGGAGACACAGGTCAAGTGAATGAATCCCTAGAAAAAATACAATTCATCAAAACAACTTGAAACGAAATTCTTCAAATACTTCATTAGAAGATAAAAGCCTTCCCATAAAATGAAAGTACAGCCTGAGGGTTTTACAGATAAATTCTACTTAACTTTTGAAAAAGATCATTCTAAATTTATGCAAATTCTGTCAGACAATTTAAAAAAAAGAATTTCCCTAATCATTCAATGACATCTCTCTGATGCTGACCCTCCAATGTGAAGGAACAATGTGAGGAAGGGAAGTTGAGGTCACTCTCACTAAAGGACAAAGTAAGATACTAGAACAAGGGAAACTGACTTGGGGTCACTGAAATATAACCTTCATTTGACATTAGTAAAGGAACCAAATGAAACTGAAAAGAAATATGAGTGACTGCCCCATAACATTTCACACATCATACTGAAATCCCAACTTGGGAGCTACTGTTCTGGAATGATTTGAGACACTTAATGATCTGAGTTCAATCCCCAGGACTCACATGGTAGAGAGAACCAACTCCCACAAATTCTACTCATACATGTACGCGCTGGCACATGTACACACACATACATACATACATACACACGTTAATAAATTTAAAGAAAAGAGAAATATAAGCTATAAAAATTGGAAAGATATGGGGCTAGAGAGAGGGCTCAGGAGTTAAGAGCAGTGGTTGCTCTTGCAGTGGACCCAGGTTTGATTCCCAGAATCCACATGGTAGTTAACAACCATCTGTAACTCCAGTTCCAGGGGAATCCGATACTCTCTTCTGACCTTTGCAGGCACTGTATGACACAGGTGCACTTATATACTTGCAGGCAATACACTTATACACATAAAAATAAAACTAATAAATACTTTTTTAAATTGGAAAGATAGAAACTTTGTAATTATTCCTAGGTGATGAGATTATTTAAGAAAAACACAAAAGAATGCATTCTACAACTGAGGAGGTTTTCAGATTTGCTGGATAGAACATCAATGTACATCACATACTGACAAACAAAAATGTATTTTGTTTTATGATGTAGCCCAGGCTGTCCTCCAGCTCTTCACTCCTACAGCCTCAGCCCCTCAAATACTGAGCTTACAAGGATGTGACATGACACCCAGGTAGAAAATGCACTTTTAATGTAGTTAGGAATAAATATAAGAAACCATGTGCAAGACAAAATATTATGGATAAAATATATGGATACAAGTGACAATTTATATTTAGAAAGACTTGATATAGTGAGAAGTACAGTAAGAAGTATCTCTCCAAACAGAACAGATTCAACAGTATTCCTATGAAGTTATAAACTATCTGGGGCTAGAGAGATGACTCAGCAGTTAAGAGTACTACTGTTCTTTCAGAGGACCAGAGTTTGGTTCCCACACCCATGTCAGACAGCTTACAACCACCTATAACTCTAGCTGCAGGGGATCCAATGCCCTCTTCTGGCCTCTATAGGCACTCACACATGTGCACATACATGCACACACACAAAATAAATAATCTTTTTTTAAAGGTACAAGTTACCAAAAACAATTAGTAAATTGACAAGCAAATAACAAAAACTCATGAAAGTTTTAAAGTGCAAGGATGGGCCAGTGAGATGGCTTAGCTGGTAAAGATGCTGATGCATAGAACTGATGACCTGAGTTCAACTCCTGGATCCCACAAGGTGGGAGGACGGAGCTCACTCCAGAGAGCTCTCTTCTGACTACCATGCTTGTAACACACACACACACACACACACACACACACACACACACACACACACACAGGACTATAACACATGTCCCTAGCAGACACACAAGCTACTCCAAATAAATAAAATTTAAAGTTCAAGCACAAGACACATCTGAAAAAGAATAAGAAGGGAGTGATGGGAAGGTATCCAGATGTTGGACAGCATGCAGTTAGGGAAAGCAGGCACTCATGTGGAAGTAGACGGCTTTAGTAGTGGAGCACAGTGCAGCTTCAGACACAAAACTATAGAAATAACAAAGATACTCCATGGGTCCCCAGGAAAGAGAAGGGCAATTTTACAAAAGTGTAAGACATTGTTTATCCACAAAGAAAAGAATCTTTCATGGTTTAATAACGTAAACGTTAAAAGCAAAATTCTTTTTAAAATTAAAGGAAATTGAAGACTATATCTTAGCACTTCAAGGCAAGAAAGGATTTCCTTAAGGCATTAAATGAAAAGAGAAATGATTGACAATCCAGATTGTATTAAAATAACACACATATCTTTGTCAAAGCACAGCAGAAGTAAATTTAAAAGGAAAGGCACAGATTGGGAGAAGATATTTTACAGCAGATGTAATAGGTAAAGAAGTGGAATACATGAAAGAAATATGTGTATATAATTGTTGCAAATAAAAGAGTTCATTAAAATAGACAAAAGATAAAGGCAAACATTTTACAGAGGAGGAAACATGAACCTCATAAATATATGAAAACATGATCAACTCATAAATGACTATAATGAAAATCAGACAATAAGATACCAATTTATTTCCAATAGGTTTGGGTGGAAAAATATAATAATAGTAAGTTTTGTTCAGGGATTCAAATGCCTACCATCATCTAAGAAAACAGTTTAGTTCTGTCTTAGAAAACTGCATATTGCAACAAGCCAGCAATTCTAATCTAAGCAAAAACCTTTGACAAATTCAGAGACAGTCACGGCCAAAACTTGAGGCAAGTCAGATGATAGTCGACAGGAGACCAGCCAGATACACCAGGGTTCCCTTAATAATCAATAGATTATTAAGCCTCTGAAAAAGTGAATGAATACTCAGTTGAACAGAATGGCTCGGTTGGATTCCAAAGCCATTACAGGGAGTAAAACCCAGGAAGTCATCCAAGACAATCGCATCCACGAACCCAGGTCTCAAAAATAAGCCACACAGAACAACAGATTCCTTGGGAATTTATGTATAGGTGACAAAAATAATCATCCTCAATAACAGGCAAGTTATAACAAAACTGAGTGGTTGCTTTCAGAGGCCACGATGATGGAAAAGTGGGTGATGGGGGAAGGATGGTGCCAGCAGAGATCCAGTTTTAGGAGGAATGTTAGCTCCCAGTGTCTACTTTGTTTCATAAACAGCATGTGCCATACACTATCCATTCTTTGTGAATGGGGCATTTTAATTTTAAAATGTTATATTTATTAGAAAGGTAAAAGAAAAACTAAAATTGAATTGTATACACCTTGCCTCTATTAAAATATAATGGAAAGTCTATAGTTTCTGATACTGACATTTATAGACTATGTGCATGATACACTGCTTCCACCCAACCTGCACTGTGTCATGACACTGAGGTGTCTAGGCAGCTATTTATCTGCTGATGGGACTAACAGAGTTTAGGGGTTGTATTCCAGATTGAAGTGCATTTTCTTACTTAAAGAGTACATCAG